TCCCGTACTCTAGAGTGGTGAGGTGGGTTGCTTGTCTGGGACAGTTCCACTGACGGGAAAAGGAACGATCGTCGCATGGTGATTCGAACGTCTGGAGATGTCGGATCGTGATCTTCTACCGCGCCTGATAGACGACTTCGCCACTTCGACTGCCACCGAGTACACTGTGCTGCCGGATGTGCAATCCCCTTTATTGGGGATTACCGTCTAGGACAACTCCGTTGGACCAAGAGTCGGGTTGATCCTGTGAACCGGGATGATTCGCACACACGGCCATTGTGGCGATTAACCGTTTTGAATCTCTTCGATAGGCGACTATTCTTCCGCATGACTCTCTTCTGTTCTGCATCTGGCATTCCCGCGTTCATCGCGGTGTGGTGGTCGTCGGCTCGCGCATGCGCGTGTCCTTGGGGGTGGGTTGTGGGACAACCGGCGCGATTGCAGGCTGGTGGTTGATCACACGCTCGACCATATTCGCTTGCGAGCATCGTCGGATCTGCTTTGTGAGTGTCCGATTGGTTGTGACTTGTGCTCTATGCTCCCATGTTGTAGCACGAAGCTGGGGGAGCTTGGGTCTGCACTGCAGGCCCTGCAGTCTATCTACGGACGGAGGAATAAGCTCTCTAGCTTTGCCCCTCTGGGTTCCGTTCGGAACCCGCGGTTATTCCTTCCTGGGAACGGGTGTCTCAGTGGAAGGATTATGGCCATCATGCGGTCGTCTGGTCGGTTTGATGAATTGTAACTGCCATTCTGTGGGCGGGCAACATCCCCCGATCTCTATTATTCTGTGTCTGTGGTTCCCTTGTCCTTGCGGCTTTTGCATCTCGGGCGGAATCGTTGGTGTTGTAATCGCTCACGGGTTACTGGGTCTTCCATATTGGCTCTCTGGTGTGTGCACACGGACTGCTGTTCGGTTGCTTCCCTGGGGCACATCAATATCTAATGGTTTGATGGCGTGGGCCAAGCCTCCGGGCACAGCAGAGCTGGGGCTTTACCGGCTGTCTCAGATCATGTTCACATGAACATGCTCTGCACTTCGTCTTTGATTACACTTTCTGTCTGATGGTGTCATCCATGTAACAGGCTGGATCCCGGATGCGCACTCATTCATGTATGGGGCTGGGTTTACCAGTGCTGTCAGCGTCGGCATTGGGGTCCAAGCCTTGCACGTATGGTTACTGCGTGTGTAATGTAAATTCTGGTTCTGGTGTAATCATGGGGGCTTAGTGTGCATGGTTCTCTGGTGTACCCCGTATGCATGAAGATGAGTTGTGTCCCTACTGGCTCGGGTCTCACTTTCTTGGAAGTATATATCCGAACCGACAAAGCGACCAGGACTAGAGCAGGTATTTCGTAGCAACTATAGACGCGATATTAAAGGTGCTGGGGGGCTAAGATCCTGCATTGAACCTGAATAGTAAAGGCAAACCAGTAGGTAAGATCATGGCTGACTGCTGCTGTTGCGACCAGTAATAATTTTGGATGGCAGATGCATTGCTTAGACGACCCTGCAGGCAGTGTGTCATATAACCAGGTATCAGGTCCTTTACCATAAGAAGCCCGGGTGGTCTAGTGGTATGATTCTCGCTTAGGGATACAAACCCAAGCATATCTGCGAGAGGTCCCGCGTTCGATCCGCGGCTCGGGCCTTCTATTTCTTTTTGCCAGCATCCAGATCTCTTTTTTGCATTGACCATAACCATCCCCAGCCTCCTCATCCACGATGATGCAATGCCCTCGAAAGTGCAGAGACATCAAGCGGTGTACGCCCCTGGGGCACCGAATGGGCCAACACCGGGACCAAAAACCCACATCCATGAATTCTATCGGCCAGTGCCTTGGTTCTTTATCGCCCGCGGGATCTCGCCCGACGCGTTGCTGTGCCAACCGGTCTCCAGAACTCCCACCGCAAGTTAATAGTCTTTCCCCAGTATCCAGCCTCGCGCAGATAAAGCGTGCGAGGAGCTGCGCGTCTATCGACAGTAGATGACCACCGACTGCCACGCCAGCCGCAGGTACTGTATGACACCTCAGATCGCCACAGAGCATCGTCATCGACAACGCGGAGGTGGGGTCGCTGCTGCACTGCAAAGCAACCAGCACTTGAGATATATATCCCGACACAATGGCCCGACTCAACCCCAACAGCCCCATCAAGCCCGCGGTGTTCCGGCCTCAAGCCAAGCCCAGAATCACCCAGACGGTCGTTCGCGAGGTCTCCCAGTATGCGTCGTCGTCCGCGTCCGAGGCAGAGGATGAAGCCCAGCAACAATGGACAGTCACCACACTGAAGGGACAAACAAAGGGTGATTCGGTAAAAACGACTACAACAATAATCGAAAAGCCCCCACAACAACTACAGCAACAAAAACAACAACAAAGAGTCCGACACCAGAGAACAGGGACCGTCTCCAGTGGGATTTTCGATATCTTCTCCGATAGCGATGGCGGGTTCAGCGAAACCGAGTACAGCAGCGCGCGGTCCTCGACCCGCTCCTTGTGCGAGACACGGACAACAGACCCTTTGAGACTGTCGCAGATCAATTCTTTGTCTGCAGCCCCTTTGTCCCAACCGCCACCCTCCCCGCGGCGTAGCAGGTCAACAAGGAAGCCGGAGACCTACAATTACGACAAGGAGAATGACCCTATCGAGCACGAGCACGGGCAGGATCGCGACGTTCCTCCGCTGTCGAGGAACCCGTCGGATGCGTCGTCGTCGTCGAGTCGCTCGCCGATGCGTCGACCAGCGGATACTCGACCGACACCAGGAAGAGGCATGTCGAATACCCGTCGCCTGCTTACGGGCTACCGACGGCCAGAACCCGAGTCTGCCGACGAAAAAGAAGAAAGCGAAGAAGACAATGATGCCGACTCAATGGCTGATTTCATTGTCAGCGACAATGAAGACCCCAGTTACCACAATACATCCGAGGATGAAACAGAGGAAGAAGAGTTCGAGAAGCCCGCGCAGCCCTCGCCCTCGCCGCCCCGAACAACCACAAGAAAGAGATTGTTCAGGGGTCGACGACCGGGCTGCGAAGAAAGAGAAATAAAAAAAGATCTGCAAGAAGATCCAGCTGCAGCTGCCTCGGACAATGAGGTGGATCTGAAACTGGCACCATCCTTGCCCGCCAGATTGACAATGGCAGCCCCCAAGCTGGAGGCCACGCCCAGACGCCTCTTTCAGGAGGAGATCAACCTCGCCGACAAGCTGAACAATCTGCACCTGGAGAACAATGATCCGGCCTTCCAACTTCAGCAGGATCCATTCACGTAAGTCTCCCATAAATTCCCCATTCACACCCCTGTCTCTCTGAGAAAACCTCCGGTTCGCATGCTAATATACACCCCCAAGGTCCGGTCAATACGATGACTCTCCAACCAAGAGATCGCAGGCCAACAGAAGCATTGAATCGGCAACGGGGACGACGACAACGACGAAGACCTCGACCCCGCCATCGAGTCCCTCGAAGGGACGCCTTCGATCCCCCACGAAAGACAGACTTCGGGTGCACATCCCGCCCACCCCACACCGCGAGAGCGCAGACGCCTTCTGGAGCGAGGAAGTGACCAACGACTGGGTTACGCAACACTCCCCCTGCAAGGTCGACGACCTCCTCCGGGAGTTCGACGAGGAGTCTGACGTCGAAGTCATCGACGTGGACATCATGCCCCGAGGAGCCAACCGCGGCAGCCAACCACCAGCATCCCCCACCCGCAAGCCTCTCAGCAAGACGGCGCTCAAACGCGCCGAGACCGAGAAGAAGAAAGCCGAAAAGGCCCACAAGCAAGCTTTTGACGCCTCCAAAGCTGGCTTCGCGGAGATTTTCTTCAAGACCCTCGACGATGCCGTGAACGACGGCCAAGTCCAGAAACTCGCCGCCACGACCGGAGGCGTGGAGATCGTGTGGAGCAAGACCCTTCAAACCACCGCCGGCCGCGCCACCTGGAAGCGAGTCACGCCAGGCAAGCAGCAGCAGCAGCAGCGCGAGTCCGACCTCAGCGGATCCGACAAGGACACCCCCACCAAAGCTGCCAAACACTATGTCAAGATCGAGCTCGCCGACCGGATCATCGACAGCGAGGAGCGCATCATCAAGACGGTGGCGCACGAATACTGCCACCTGGCCAACTACATGATCTCGGACGTGCACGACAACCCGCACGGGGAGAGCTTCAAGGCGTGGGGCCGCAAGTGCATCGAGGCGCTGCAGGACCACCCGGTCTACGGCGGCGGGCGGATCGAGATCTCCACCAAGCACAACTACAAGATCGACTACAAGTACGTGTGGAGCTGCGTCGACTGCGGCCAGACCTACGGGCGGCACTCGAAGAGCATCAACCCCGTGCGGTCGCGGTGTGGCCGGTGCCACGGGCTGTTGCAGCAGATCAAGCCCAAGCCGCGCAGCGTCTCGCCGCGGAAAAAGCAGCAGCTGTCGCTCCTGCCGAATGCGAGGGGGCTGCTGGCGGAGGTGGCCAAGGTGATGGATGGGGTTGCCGCTGTGACTACGCTGGATGATTCCGACTAGCCGTAGAGGTTCAATACGATAATGTAGTCTTGATGGTGTTTCTTTGGTGCTCAGTTTCTTAGCGGTGATGCATTGGTGTATTTATTTCGGGGTTTGGTTCTGTACTTAATTGTGGCTGCTGCTGACCTGGTGTTAGGGCATGCCCACTAGCTCAAATGTACAAAGATTATTTCTTGCATCAATGGAAGATTGGAGAACCCGACTTCACTTCTTTTCCCTTTCTATATTTTAATATGTAGGGGGTGTTTGATTCAATTCAATGCTAACCTAGGTATCTATCTATACAAGCGACAATTGCGCCAATAACTATCCATATATGCATGATGCTTCCTTTCCGTATCCATCAATATCGTCCCAATCCAAGCATTCACCCTATATTCCACCCAGAATCCAAATCCCCATCCCCATCCCCATCCCCATCCGAAACAACCCCCCCCATCATATCGAGACAAATGAATAAGCTAGATGGAATCAAGCAAAAAGCCCCCACTCCACAACCTCCAACCCCCTGACCAACTCCGCCACCACCCCCTCACCCACCTCGACCTCCCTCCGCAACCCCTCCGCATCCCCCCTCTCCACAAACTCCTTCTCGGGAACGTTCACCAACACCAACAAATCAGTCTCCTGCTCCACCAACCTCACCAACAAAAACCAGCATTGCGTTGTCGTTGTCGTCCCCGCCTGGTCCCCACTCGACCCAGCCCCTGCAGCCCCAGCCCCAGCTCCCGCTCCCACAACCCTCTGCTGCTGCTGCTGCAGCTGCAGCTGCAAACCCACCCCCCTCCCCCCACGCACCGGGGACGTAAAACTAACCCGCCCAACATACCCGGCCACATCCCCCTGAAACTTCTCAAGCGCGACCCTAGTCGGCGGCTGTACGATCACCAGCGTATCCGCGGGATCGCAGATGTCGAGGAGGTGGTGGAGGGCGGCGGCGCGGTTGAGGGATTCTTGGTCTTGCGGGCTGGTTTCCGAAAGGAGGGCTGGGTGGGCGCGCAGGGTGGCTTGGGCGACGGGGTTAGGGACGGGTTGGTTGAGCTCGATGATTAGGGAGGAGAGGGTGGTGGGCGAGAGGTAGAGTTCTTGGTGGTCGGGGATTTCGCGGAGGGTGCTTTTGCCGGGGAGGGGGGTGTTAGTGAGGTGCGACTAGAATGGGGAAGAGGGGATTGGGGATCGGGGCTGGGGCTGGGGCAGGGCAACGTACCTGGCGTCGATCCAGCCTTGGGGGATGATGCCTTGGATGGCGCCGCCGTAGAGGGGTTGGGGGGTGTAGGTTGGCATTGTTTTGTTCTTCTGGGAGGTTGTGGAGGGGTGGAGGGTGGAGGGTGGAGGGTAGGTATTTTGTTGTGTGGTTGTGGTTGTGGGAGTGAGGAGATGGTGTAGTATCTGGGAGATTGAGGTATTGATGTGTAGTGTAGATGTTTTGTTGAAAGCTGAAGGAATAATGCTAAGCTACGGAACAGCCAGCTGGGATGGAAGAAGAACTTCACATGATAGCGGGGCTGCGGGGGTCTGGCGGCTTGCGGCTTGCATAAATGACTAATTATGCTCGGGCTTGCGACTCACCGATCTATAAGATGACTTAGAATCAACAACATCAGTCCCCTGGACTCATACTGTGACCCAATGCTTTTATATCTTAAGCACATAGCGTTGCAGAATGGTGTATCTTGCTCATATAAGGCTAGACTTATAACTCTCCCGTCAACCACTGACCAACCTACAAGTCATAGTCAACCACACCGGCCATCTGGACTCATTTGTGACTCAATGCCCTATATCTAGAACACATGGCGTCGCGGAATGCGATATGTCACCCACTCAAAGGCCGGACTGAATACCTAAGGGAGACTAAGTAATGACGACCGTCACAGTGCTAGCATAATGTGACTCTACGCCAGGTGTATACTGGTATACTGTACAGTTAAGCCAAGCCTAATCCCTGCCCCGAATACTCGCCAACTTCTCCCCCAGATGACTCTCCAACATCCGTCGATGACCCCCCAACACCAACCTCGCATCCGCCACCGACCTCGCATATTGCTCCACGAGCACCTCCAAACTCACCTCCTCCCCCCAATTCTCCTGCTCCAACTGCACCTCCACCCTTCTAACTGCATCCCTCCACACCTCCTCCAACTCCCCCCTCCACCCCAACGCCTCCGCCAACTCGCACACCCCATCGTCACAGTCTCCCAGCACACATACATCCCCGGGCCTCTTCCCCAGATCCCCCGCCGCCTCCCGATTCACCAAAACCCGGGGCACCCCCTCCCGCACCAACCGGGGTAATTGCGAACACGGCGCGACCTTCAAACTCGTCCCCAGCACCAACATAAGCTCCGCCTCGCGCACCACCGCCTCCCGCTCCGCATACTCGGGGGGGATCTCCTCGCCAAAGAACACGACATCGGGCTTCACCACGCCCCCCTCACACTCAGCCACCGAGCAATACGGCACCGCGCCCATCCGAACCGCCTCCCGCATTTGCGAGTCTGGACACGCCGTCCCGCACTTCCAGCACCGCTGGCCCGCGCGCCAGCTCCCGTGCACATTCAACGTCTTATCCGCGGGGATCCCCACCTCCGCCTCCAAACCGTCGACGTTCTGCGTGAACAGGAAATGGAGCAGGTTCTTGCGACTCAGTAACAGCAGAAAGGCGTGCGTGCGGGTTGGGCGCAAGGTGCGCGGGTGGCGGGCCCGCGCGATCGCGTAGAAGGGCTCCGGCGTGTGCTTGAAGTAGCTGAGGCTGAAGAGGGCCTCCGGGTAGGGGAGGAGGTGGCGGAGGGGTTGCAGCTGGTCGTAGAGACCCGACCCGGGAGTGCGGAAGTCCGGGATCCCCGCTGCGGTGGAGATGCCCGCGCCCACGAGGACGACGATGCGTTGGATCTGCTGGGTGCGGATTTGGTGGAGGATTTGGGGCAGGTCTGTCATTTTTCTTACTTCTTTTTAGGCTCTTTTTGGGGGAGGGGTTGGGGTTGTAGAGGGCGGTTGGGAGGGTAGGTATGCAGTTGGAAAATATGTAGATGGGGAGTGAAGAGGGGGTTTCCTTGCCTCCAGGGCAAGGCTGCATGCGTATCGAGCATATGGATATGATTGGGCTGCAGTCACCCTTCTCATATGGTGAACACTTCTGAACTGACTCCTCGTAGCAACGGCACAATTTATCCAATTATGGTTCAAAGTTCAATACTCCTTCGACCTACTCTATGAAAAGCTCGTCCTATTTCCAAGTAGCTATGCTATGTCTCGGAATTCCGAAGACCCGTTGAGGTCCACCCGAGCACGGAGATAACCACGGCTGCGTCCTCCATGACCCCCAACTGTCACGCCAGTATACCATCCGAGCCATCACCCTACCAGCCCGCCGCGCAGGCCCATCCGTGTGGCCCTTTTCGGAAAATACCTGAGAACTGATTAAACACGTTTTTAGAAAGTTTTATATCAAAAGACTAAACCTGTATCAATCACTAGTAGTATATAATTCTGATTAACTACTCAACTACCACGCCGAACTATATTTTCTGTATGGGCGCAATCTTTAGAGTCGATTGTAAGAATTTATTTAAGTCTAAAAAATTAAAAATATACTAAGAACTGACTATAGAAGTACAGATGTTAAGATTTTGCTCCCTCTGATCCGAACTTTATATGCTTTAGCAGGGCCATTGGCAGGACTAGCGTGTTTATAACAGGCGCAATTAAAAGTGCTGGCTTTGCTGATTTAGATTGATGTCTTAAAATTGATAAAATAAGACTTTTTAAGATAGAAAGTATAAGGTTAAAAATGGTGGGTTTGTATACTAAGAATAAGAGAGACGCGTTTAAAAAGATTGAATACTCGGTTCTCAGACTCTCTACGAGAAATTGAAAGCCGCATATTCTGATTGATCTATATGTATCCACATATATCTAATTAGAAATAGTATATGCATAACTTGAAGCTAGTCCTAGAGCGACTATTCCACGTCCAGAGGGGCTGAGCCTGCTGAGATAATTGAAAAGGTGCTTGAACAGATGCAAGTACGGGCCTTGCTGGGCCCGCTAGAGGCGCGTCGCAACGCCTTGGCCAAGGGAGGAACCCGCAGGTCAGGCCCTCGTATGTTCCTTTTTGTTATCCTGTTTCTTTGTCTCCCGCGTCCTGCTTCCGTCGGTGGTTGTCCTCCGCCTACAGGTATACTTCATGGGACAAAGGACCCGCCAACCTTGGAGCTGACTGGTTAGCCGAATCTACCTCCATCCGTTGGTCTCCTAGAATCACTGCGGAACTCGCTTTCAATGGCTCCCTCTGTTAATGGTTCCGTCTGTCAATGGCACCGTCTGTTTCCCTAACCACTCAAGCTCCTCCAGGCTGTCTCTTCCTCCCCACCTTCTTCGGCCTACTTTAGCACCTTCCGTTTCTCCCTTCTTATTATAGCTCCTGTCACTGCTACGACACACGATTCGACATGCAATCCGCCAGCGCTTACAGCCCAGTAGCATCGTGCTTATCCACGCTGTCGATTGTTCGAATCATGACTGCAGGGAAGTGTAACGATTTCCTCACATCAGGGAATATAAGACTACCATGCCCCTGTGAGCGAGGCATTCACCCCGTTTATCTTGACAAGCCCAAGCAAGTCAGCCGACTTGATCTATGCAAAGAGTGCAGCCATACGCTTGAGATGCATGATGATTTCGAGATTCTGTCCGAAGGTTCGCCGTCCGTCAGTGGTCTAGAGCAACCGCACGTTGAGACCAGTGAAGTATACAAAGGTTATGTTCTGTCTGTATTCCCCATATCCTAGCTAATAGTGTGTCGCGGTCACAGTCACGCTTAAGGCGCAGGACCCGAACATCTGTCCTCGACAGGACACAGTTTCAGTACTAGCCGACATTATCAAAAATAATCTAGTTACCCATGTTCGGGGTACTCCTGCGAGCGGAAAGACAATGCTTGCTCGCCTGCTTCGTGATCATCTTATCGAGAACGGCTGGAAAGTCTTTTTCATGGGCACATGGGGAGTACACCTTATCAAATTTGCTCCCGATGATTACGATAACGCTTGGGATGTGTTGGGGCTTAAGCTCAAGGATCGCTACCCAAAGCAGAATCCAGCAGCCTTTTCCGCTCCAAACTCTCTGCTTCTCGTTGACGAGGCACAGGCGTCATACAAAGATGAGATACTCTGGGGCGAAATTATCAAGGAGCAACTGAATGGTATCGTCAAGAGAGATATGCGAATTTGCCTCGTCTGTTCTTATGGGAGTCCAACCACCGGCGTCGAGCCTGGTATCTTTATCCCAGCCGAATTTACCACGAGCCAGCGCATTACCATCACTCCGCAACAAATTCCAGGCTCCCCGCAAATAGGCCTTTTTACACCAGGCTCGAATTTGACGACGCTGTTTCCCGAGACAGTCAAGTCTACAGACAACAACAACACGGACAAGCCTAAGACACCAGCAAAGACCGCAGATGTCAGCACAACCGAGACACGTCAACTGTCCGACCAGATAAAGAAAATAATTGAGGTCGGAGTCCAGCAGCTCCTCGAAACAATTACACAGAAACTTCAGACACCTGTACCTCAGACACCTGTACCCGACGATCTCAGCCCAGACAACACACCTCGCAAAACAGGCATTGGACTCGGACCACCCAAGCCAGAGGACAGACCCAAGACTGACGCACCCAAGACTGCCAAAGCGAAATTTGCCATACTCCGTACTACAGCTAAAAGAAAGACGCCGGCACTCCCAGATGCAAACAAACACGCAAAGTTTCTGCAGCAGAAAGCCGACGAAATTACAGTTCAGAAAAACATTGGGTATTGGGATCTGGACGACGAAAACCAGTATCATGACAACTTCACTCTACATGAGGAAGCCGGTGGCTATATATTCTCTTTCACAAATGGGCATCCCGGAGCTGTAAACGCGATACTATCCTACATCTATGAAGTATGTTTTGTTTACTATCCATCTTGGCAATGATCTTTGGTCAAGTGTGAATAGAACTATGTGGCTGATTTAGGCTTCAGTAATATCGCAGCCCGATTACACATGGGAAACTACCCGTGATGACGAAACAGCATGTTATTCTCAGCTTGAAAGAAGATGAAGAAGTTTGGACGCATCTCGCATCTTGCTCTGTCGCTCGCTCTTTTCCGAAAGGCCCTAAACTGACACCTCGAGTCGTCAATGTCCTTGGAGACATTGCGGAGCAAGGAAGCATCGAATGGGAGGAGAACAATGAAGGGATGGGTCAATGTTATGTGAACGGCTGGATCCATAAGACCATCGTGCTTGATGCCACTTGCCCTATTGGAAAAGACATGGTTGTTCTTCCGTCACGTCTACACGAGAAGTAAGTTCCTCTTATATGTTACCTCCTTTGAAGAATTCTAAACAGAACTAGATGGGTCGAAAGATTTGTTGGCGGTATATCAGCCTCTCTGCCCCTACGATTTGATACGCTTCAAACCCTTTGTTGTGAAGTCCTCGGTCGCTTTTCCGTCATGTATTTACGACATGCCTCCAAGGGGAAGAAAATGTCCAGCGCATCGACATATAGGGCTTTGGAAGCTCAGTACCAAGACGAGTTCTATAAAGCATTCAGATCGGTCGCTGGGCGGGCGGTTCCAATTTGCTCGGAGTGGTCCAGAACGCAGGACGGCACAGCGGATTTCTACATACCCGAGAAGAAGTGGGCCATCGAGGTCCTCCGTGACCACAGGAAGATTGACGAGCATGTCTCAAGGTTCCGCGAGGGCGGAGCGTACTATGGCTGGATAGAGGACGGCACAATTCAAGAATGGATTGTCATCGATTGTGCGACTACTTTGCGTAACAAAGGTCAGTTCTGTTCTCTCTGACTTGCTTCATGTTGCTGATAGTTTACAGTTCACCGTGAGCCAAATCTCATCCATGCCATCTTCCTAGCAGATTACACAGAGTTACAAGTCTTTGGTCGGCAGAGGTTACCCATATATAAAGCTCGCCTACAATGATATGAATTTGTCTTTAAGTTAGTATGTGTGTCAAGGCTTACTATGTTCTTTTTGCGGTTGTCCTTCAGTGAAAGTTCTAATGCTAGTAGGTTGGTCAATCTTATACTACGAGGTCCTGGTCATCGGGTGACTTGTGATCAGCATCGGCCAAGGCATGCAAAGCACGCCAAATCTTTGTGATTGGGCCTATAGGTTTGGGTAGATATGTATATATCAAAGTCTACTAAGAATGATTTATATAAGTAAAGAATCACGCGAGGAACTATGTAAGCAAGGCTGTTTATGTGAGTAAGGCTCTTTATGCAAGCAAAGCTATTTATGCAAGGATGGCCGCAAGCAAGGGTTTTTGTGCAAGCGAGATTCAAAATACGAGCGAGGCAGTCCGCAGCGGTCCTCGCAGCCGTGGTGATTTAAACAATTGAGATTCTTTGTACTCCTTGAGGTCTGTTACGATGTGCTTCGCAATCATGTGAGCCCACGTGGCGCAGTTGGTCAAGAGTAGTACTGTAATGAGAATCAGTGCAAAGCCTGATTATCCGAGGGCGTTGTGGTAATTGATTTGGGGTCATCGACGGATATTGGAGCGTCATTCTGGGGAGAAGTTGGCGAGTATTCAGAGCAGAAGTTGGCTTGAGATCCACTGGCATTTAGCGTAGAGTCCCGTCATGATATGCTGGCACTATTCAACTACGAGTACTCCGTAGATGCTGCAGACTCGGCAAAGTGCTCAACATGCCGATGGTAGGGCGGGCTCGGTAAGAGCTGCCTCGGTCCCCGAGCCTAACCCTAAACCGCCGGAACTGGAACTATGGAGTCGACGCCGGCGCCGGCGCCGGCGCCTCATAGCAAAATCTACCTAACTTGAAGCACTACAGTACTCACCAATATGATCAATTCCAATCGAGAGTAACCAGATCAAGCACGAGACCACCTACCTATCGACGTATCTCGAGCAGATATTTATCATCTCCAGCTTCCTCCCCCTCCCCCTTTCCACTCCACGCAATCTGCACGGTCTCATACTTCGGTCTCGGCAACACAACCATACAGCCGACCGGCAATCCGGGGTCGTAGCTTCTGATTGATCCGCGCCATCCTCCCACCTGTTTCTCATGCCCACTACTTACAACGAACCCTTGAGAGGAATCTTTTCCCTCCTCCTCTACCTCATGCTTTCCCTCTAGCCCACCAACCCCATTGCCTGTCAGCATAGCGGGACCTCATCATCACCATGTCCTTTATCAGACCGCGCCCCCACCTCTTCCTCCGTTCCCTGCATACGTCACCGCCGCCACCACCACCACCACCAGCAGCAGCCGCACGAGTCCAACTGGCCTACGAGCTCCATCACCACCACCGCCAACCACCTCGCACCAGCAGCAGCAGTAGCCCCTCAACATCGCCAATTCTCTTCCTCCATGGGTTTCTCGGCTCAAAGCGCGAGAATCGGATGATTAGTAGGCAAGCACTTCCCTCCCGACTTGGGTTCGTTGCAGTAGTTCCAGGTCCCCTGGCGTCTTTTCTCCCCCTTCTTCTTATTTCCCGCCGTACCCACTAGTCATGCTGTACCTCAGAAACGATACTGGGAAACCCATGGTAGCTAACATGAGGACTTAGACAACTGGCCAAGGATACCTCCCGATCAGTCTATGCATTGGTATGTTCCTTTCCTTCTCTTGTGGAAATTACCGGAATTACATTGTTGCCGCCGAGTCATGCCACTTCCCATTGAGATTTAGTACCTAGCGATACTCCAGGCACTTGAATTGATTTCGGATAATTTGACACGGAGACAGGATCTGCGCAATCACGGCGACTCCGGCCACCATCCGAAACACGATTATGTGGAACTCGCGCTAGATGTGCGAAGCTTCATCGAGAAGCACCGCATTCGAGAGCCGACGATCATCGGACATTCGATGTATGTGCGAGAAATCTCTTTGCCCACCCGCCATTCTTCAGTCATTGATCCAATCTTTCTCTCATGCTCACAGGGGAGCGAAAACAGCTTTAACCCTGGCGCTGGAATCTCCCCACCTCATCAAAGATGTCGTGGCCATCGACAACGGTCCCATCCATCTGCCGCTCAAATCGGATTTTCTTGGATACCTCCAAGGCTTGGCCCGATTGCAAGAGGAGCGGATCACGAGCCATCGGCAAGCCGATGAAATACTGGCGGCATATGAGAAGGTAAACTACCTTTCACAATGATGTCCTTTCTTGTTTCCGTTCTAAGATTGATTATCAGTTCTCTGACTAATAATCTAGGACCCCGCCATTCGGCTCTGGCTCATCAGCAACCTCGTAAAGAAACCAAATTCGTCATATCTCGACCTGCGAATTCCTGTGGAGATCCTGAAAACGGCCATGGGGCCTTTGGGCGATTTCCCCTACCGAGAGACCCAGGAAGAAGGAGGATGCAGGCAGTTTCATGGGCGGTTGCTCTTCCTGAGAGCACTTCGGAGCCATTACATTCCGGAAACGGCATTTCCGACGATATTTTCGTTCTTCCCAGCTTCCAAGATCGTAAATATCGATAGTGGTCACTGGATCGTTCAAGAGAAACCGGAGGAACTCCGGCAAAGTACGTTTGTGCTTCCCCTGCCCAACCTATCCCTCGTTATTTTCGCCTGGAGCCGAATGCGCGATACTGACGCTTAGTCCTTCGTTCTAGTTGTTACCGAGTTTTTGTCATAGCCTAGAAAAGGCCCCGTCCGGTGGTCGATGGGCTTTGCATGTTAGACGATTTTCGGAACAAACATGCGAAACCTCCTTGCAGGCTCGACCCAAGATATTGTTTGTGCATGCAGGGTCGCTCATACACAAGCAGAACCGCAACAACTTTGCAAGCCGGCCCGTGTAACAACATCCTTAGTATGGCGTATCTAGATCACTGTCCAGAGTAGGCCAATAGATTCCTTGCATTTGTGTATCAATCAAGAACTCGTCCAGTTGAGCCGGATAAAACTCGTCCTGTGACAAGAACGCGCCCATTGAGGGCTCCATGAAGACGGCACTGCTCCCACCGGCAGCCTGCTGCGTCATAAGTAGAGGCGGTCCGACGTCCGCAATGGACGCGCGCGGCTGGATAGCGGGGACATTCTGATGAGCCTCGACACCTGAAAGCGGTCCCTCGGTGATAGCGTCGTTTGTTGAAGGATATGGATCATCCGCGATTGTAAGACCCTGTATGTCAGTCTTGATCCCATCCAGGTGTTGGCAGTAATCCCTAGCAGGATAGTTTCCAGCATCGCGTAGACTTTCGAGCAGGTGACTGGCAAATTCAAACTTCTGTCGATCTTCTTCAGGACTGTCGGTGAGCAGACTCGCGATAGCCAGGATGGTAGTAGCGGAGAAGAGCTGCTGGGTCGTAAAGCAGTCGAATGTCCGCACCGATCCTTCGCTCCAAGCTTCGGTGATGATGTTGAATGAGTCTCGCGCGCACTGGATACATGCTTCTGCGAGTGTTCGTGTATCAGTGTGGAGATGATCCATGCTGGGTGAATTTACCCCAGCCGTCATCCGAACGCGAGTCACGTAGAGGAGGACAGGGCGAGTGGTCAAGATCAAACACTGGAAGGGTCAGTCGGGTCACTTTTTAGGCAACAACAGAATCAAGCCAACCTGGTTGAAGGAGAGATGGAGGTCCATCGTGGCGGGTCCTCGATAAGAGCCGTTTGCAGTCGCCCTCAAAGCCTCTGGTATAGTCCGATACCAGTGCCGAAGATCCTTCAGGGCAATTTGAACCCGACCCAAGAAAGGGCTAGAGTATGTACTTCGCCCGTAGAGTGTCCTGATAATCCTGTTGGTCAGCCTGGCAAGAGAGATTCTCGACGCAAGAGAATCGGTGTACTGAAAATCCACAGCTTGGATCTCGGTAAGTTGGATCTCCTTAGGAACATCAACAAAGATCTCCTCGTCCGAGACTGATATTGCTTGGCTGCTGATAGTTGCACACTGATGATCGAGAAGATAGGAAGTCCACCAAAGTCGATTTAGGTGTTCCCGAGTACCTGCATCATGAATTTGAGAGTTCGGTACGTTGAAGTGTAACCCCATGACGATGCAGTGCCGAATGGCGGAGCTGGCTAAGAAGTATGCAGAATGACGCCTGTTGACGTGTAGCGAGTACAGAGCCTAGAGCACCCTTCAGCAAAAGGGAAAAAGACAACGGAAAGACATAGGCGCCCATTCTGAGTTGCAGTATACTTACCAAGATCAGACAGGTCTCCACGTAGTCAGTGGTGGGCCGTTCATGTAAGGCACCGTACGCCTTGCTCGCATCCTTGAAGAATACCATACCCGGTACCCCGTCAGGTGAAGTTTTACCCTGGCTTGAATAAAGCTCCCCAAATGCGAACAACGCAGAGATCTTACATTTAGAGAGAGGGTCTAGCGAGGCTGGCGCTTGGATGTACTTGCCAAATAGGGACCAGGTGGCACTTTTCCGCACAATGTGATAACGCCCGTCAAAGTATGCTAGAGCTGTTTTGAGCAAGAAGCGGGCATGTACATGGTTCAGCTCAGGAAGGACGCAGTTAGGCACTGGATCATTTGCAGGATAGGCTGTCCTTGGAATGTGGTTTTGGGGCCTCTTGGAGATAGTTTGACGGATTCGAGTTGCGAAGGCCGGATCAGCAACCTCGCCTATCAGGATGGGAATTCGGGAAGAGTTGACAGGCAGGAACCACGGTCTTTCATCCATCAAGGGGTTTCGAGTCGGTTCTTCGAAGTGATCCGTTGCTGGGCTCGTTGGCGTAGGCTCTGGGGCAGGCTCAGGGGCAGATCTAATTCGATCCCCAGAGCGAGCGCGCAGAGCATCATTTTCTTGAATGAGTCGGTCGAGATAACTATTTTGGACCCCTTCTTCAGCCAAGATCCACAATCCCAGGTTTCAGCATCAGCACACACTTTTGACTGATCTTGATCTGACGATCTCGCTTCGGATATATACACTCCGACACGCAGTCCGATTGCACACAGGTCTTACAGGGGGCGCCTCCGGGGCATCGGACCTTCCTTGCATGACACCTTTCGCAACTAGAAGACAGTTATAGAAGTTATTGCTTTGATGCCGCTGAGCGGAACGGATGAGCACTTACGCGACCGATTTGGATTTGCGAGCAGACCCGGCTAGACGCCGATCCACACCTCTAACCTTCTGGCTCCTGTCTGGCGGCATTCGAGTAGCTTTTGCCCGATGAGAAGGGGGGGAGGGGTGACAAAAAGGCCGAGTTGATGATTTCGCTGGAGAAGATGGAGTGGCGAGGGAGACTACCTTATCTTCTCGGCAAGAGCAAGTCCGTGCCGGCGAGGGAGGAGGATGATTACCTCAGCCTGTATGTATTGTATGCATTGCATGCATCAACCACACGACATCCTCTGTCCCTGGAATCACAACATCACTAATTTCATCATATACACTTAAGAGTGATATGCAAACGCGCGCCGTTTCAATGCCGGGTCGATCCACGCGGCGAGTCTGCCTCATTGGCCGAACGAGGGGCGATACTGGATATGACCCAGAGTAAACGAACGGCAAAAAGGGTTTCGTGCCGACTAATCGTCGTTTCGCTTGCTCAGTCTGTTGGCTATTATTATAGAGGAAAGACTCCCTTGGACCTTTGTCCAGAAGGAAGCTCAGCTGCCTGAAGCCCACCATCTTTGATATCCACATCCGTCGACCCGTTCTTCCCAATTCAAACCAAGCACAATCTCATAGCCTGCACCGCGATTGACCGACCCACGCAATGTCAGACTGGGCTCACGTCTCTAACCCTCAGCGTCTCGAGAAGGCCGCCGAGCTGAACGCCGCCGAGTGCGTTCGAAACCTCTCCCACTGGGCGCATGCAGTCGACGAGATCGCGACGTGGCCCGAGTACAGCCCTCAGCCGCTGCACTCCATGACAAACACGGCGAGAGAACTGAAGCTTGCGAACCTATTCGTGAAAGACGAAAGCACACGGTTCGGAACCAGTCTCGGCTCATTCAAAGCTCTCGGGGCGCCGTACGCCGTTTTCCGGATCCTGGCCGACAAGGTGTTCGCAAAGACTGGCGTGCGACCGACATCAGCCGAGCTGAGGACAGGCCAATACAGGACCATCACAGAGCGGGTCACCGTCTGCGTGGCCACGGATGGCAATCAGGGCAGAGGACTCGCCTACGGAGCCAAGATCTTCGGGTGTCGGTGTGTCGACTACATCCACAACCACGTCAGCGAGGGCCGCGCCGAGGCCATGAAAGACCTGGGCGCCGTCGTGATCCGCATCGACGGCGAGTACGAGGCCTCCGTGGAGCGCGCCAAGGAGGATGCGCGCATGAACGGATGGCACTTCGTCAGCAGTACCTCGTGGAGCGACTTCGACGGCGGGATCCCGCAGAATGTGATGAATGCATACATGGTGGTGGTCGAGGAAGCCCTTCGCATGCTCCCCGCCGAGGCAGCGATTTCGCACGTCTTCGTCTGTGGTGGGGTGGGCAGCATCGCGGCGGCCGTGTTCCTGGGGTTCATGCTTCGTCACCAGAGCCTCAAGCAGACGGGCAGCACTCTTGAATCACCGCCTCGATTTGTGGTGGTGGAGCCACGGGAGGCGGATTGCCTCTTCCAAAGCGCCCGTCAAGGCGCTCCCATCCAGTCAGAGGGGACTCTACGAACGCTGATGACCGGCCTGGCGTGTCGCGCACCCTCACCAGCCGCCTGGAAGGTTCTGTCGTGGTTGACTAGCGATTTTGTCTCCGTTCCAGATACGGTGGCTGTGGAGGGAATGAAGTTTCTGGCCAGCCCGGCCGCCGGTGACGTGCCGGTGGTCTGCGGTGAGTCGTCTGCCGCCAACATGGGTGTCTTGTTGCAGGCTGGATGTGATAATGGGCTGCGCGAGAGACTCGGCTTGGATGAAAACAGCCAGGTGATGATCTTCAATCTAGAGGGAGCTACGGATTCGAAGATTTTCGAGGAGCTTGTTGGACAGTCCCCTCAAGCAGTATTTGCTGCCCAGTCTTCTTTCACGAGACCTTAGAGATAGTAATGCAACAGTATATACCCTTCCATATTTATTAGCAATAAAGGTGGATGCATTGTATGCCAGCCTTTTTCGCAGTGGTCAACCATCCATCCATGAGCAGGTAGTACCAAAGCACAGTACATCTGAACCTTACCCAAAAGAATACTTCTTTAAGATCTTACAACAAACCCCCACATTACTTCCCACTACAACATCCAACTGCCCCGTTCAAAGATGAGCCACAACCTCAATCTCCACATCCGTCCCCAGCGGCAGCTGCTTCACGGCCACACAAGTTCTTGCCTGCACCCATCCAGTCAGTCAGGACATTCGCGCACCACCATCCAAACCACCAGAGAAACACATACCGGCGGCGAGCCATTGCTGAACACACTCAAGTAGGCCTCATTCATGGACCCATAGTTACTCATATCATCGATAAAGATCGTGGCTTTAATCTTGAACGTTTCAACGAAGCAGATGAATTAGTGCTCAGCTGCTGTTATGATCAAAACGCACACCTCGGCCAAGGCGAGAACTCACGATATTATCCAAACAGCTCCCCGCCGCCTCGAGGATGTTCGAGAGATTCTTCAGGCATTGGACCTCTCAACGATGCCGTCAGCAAGAGTCTCCAGGTCATAATCGAATCGCGAGCCTCGATCGTACCGTGCGGTCTCCGGTAGTCCCTTCGACCAGCCGGCCCGTCGCGGGGTCCATGCCCACGGCTCCCGAGGTATAGACCGTCTTCTCGTGCACGATGGCCTGGGAGAAGAAAGGCTTGGGGGCCGGGGCGTTGTCGGTTCGGATGGCGCGTTTGCTCATGGCTGCGCGTGCTTGTTCCGTTTACTTTGGTAGGTGAGGGGAGGGGAACGGAGGAAAGTGAAGGGAGGGAGGGGGGAGGGAGGGTGGAGGTAGAGAGAGAAAGAGGATTGGGTATTATTTGTAGGACATATTCAAATAAGTATAGAGAATAGCATCTGTGTTGGTAGCTCTTGCATGGGAGACTTGGGTGTGCGGTATGGTTACAGCACAAACAATGCACGGCATGTTGGATGCGAATGCCGAGCGCTTCTCGGCACCGGAAATGAACTTCCCGGCGTCGCGGTGGGGATGCATAATCTTCGCTTCTGGATCTCAAACTTTCATGTTCTGTGTTTCTTGTTACATTTTGTTTTTCATGTGTCTGACTGAGTGGTTCATTCTACACGTGTTTATGGCTTACAATTTTTGAAGGTATAAGCTAAGCGAACCATGAAATTTAGGCCGTTCTAGATACAGTACATGCAGCATCATATCTAGCAAGACACAAGAGTTCAGTATGTTCAGCCGGTGGTGGCTAAGTACCCCTCCCCGAAAATGTACACGGACGAATCAAGTGATATCCCGGATAGGATCCTCATGCAGGGCAATCTACTAAACCAATTGCCCGGGTCTCAAGCCCAACTCCACACAAACCCGCTCCAAGCTCTGCGTTTGTGCGCGCTGATACCACTCATCGACATCCATTGGTCGCTCCTGGAGCGCCCTCTCGAGTCCCTCCCGATCGCTCTTCCCTTCTTGACAGAGCACGCGATTGCTGGTCGGACCTTGAGACTGCAGGTTGGATTGAAAGATCCCTGCGGCGGAGAAGGGAAGAAAATCCTCATACGTGATGGGCGACGCCTCGATCCGCCCTTCGCCTATCAATTGCTCCAGAGAATAAGCGCTGGATCTATCTTGCGGCAAGGCGTCCATGCCATCTTTTCCCGTGCAACGGTATTCGCAGTAGATCAACCCCTGCTGCCTCAGCTCGGTCCAGTCATCCGGGTACTGTTTGAAGACCGCAGCCATGACGGCATCGACCTGCTCGGGGTCGGCGCCTGTAGCTTGAGCCATGCTTTCCTCCAAAAGTCTGTCATATAGCTGTCTGCCTTTGGGTGTGACGGCAGCGCCTCGCTCTTCGATTTCGCCGAAACGGGCCTTGTGAGTACCTCTCACCCAGTGGCTCTCGCCGGGACCCGAAGAAGTTTTGAAGTTCACCGTCTCCTCCAGAGCAAGGAAGCTGGTCTGCCGGAGGAGAATCGGACACTTACGAAGGGGCGGACCTTCGATGCGGGACTTGACTGCCATGCCCGCGGCCTTCATGGTAGCCTGAACCTCGGCGATGTCCAATGTTCGCGGCGTGAGATGATTGATGTGAGCGCTCTGGAAGCAGGCGATGTCGGCCAAAATGGGATGCTCATGCTTCAGGACTTGGTACTGCTCGTATGTTGCGGCTGCTACCGACTGCCAACTGAAGCTGCGGAGCGCTTCAGGAACGAACACCGCCGCTTGCTCCCTGGTAAGTCTATGATGCTGTGCTTCGGCAACGTCGAGTAGTTTCAGAAGCTTATCGGTGAAGATCTCTCTTTGCTTCAGCAAGCTTATGGCCTGCTCTCTGGCGGCTTCTGACGCCAGTAGCTCTGGCCGAAGGAGTGTGGTGAACACCCGAAAGGGATTGCGATCGAGGCTCGAAGTTGTCCGCGGGCGAAAGCAGGTCGCGTGCATTGGGAGCCCGGCCACAGATAGATCGTAGTAGCCTACGGGTTGCATGCCCAGCACCCGGAAAATTCGTCGCATAGTCTGAAGCTCGTAGGGGGTTCCGAGGCGGATAGCCCCGTGTCGTTCGAGGGTCAGTCGCTCTGCGCTGGCTCGCAGCGCCACCGTATCGGAGGTAGGATCGACTGTTGCTGCATTGATGTCGCGCACGATCTTGATCAGGTCGCCGTACAGAGGCACTTCCTGCTTGTACATTGCAGACATGGCGGAGGCGAACTCCGTCCGCAAGTTATCGGCCTCAACCATCGGAGGGTGAGCTGGCTCGATTATCTGGGTCATGGCGTAAATTGCTGTTTGTCTGGCGTGGAAGGATTTGAGCTCAGATGTCGAGGAACAAGGACCTGCGCATCCCGCACCGCAACTATCGACTTATATTGACATCGGTACCAGGATTGCGCGTACAAGTACATGAGACTGATGCATGTGATTGATTCAACGTCAGCTCAGAGCAGAGTGTATGCATATCTTCGGCAAGATAGTCTCGTTGCCGAAGTAGTAGACGGAGGGAATTGTACTTTCCCGTGTCCGGCGTAGATTCTTGCTGCCCCGAGGGGAACCACGGGTTAAATGCGAAGGCCAGGTGGGCGATGCAAAGAGAAATGGGAGGAAGTAAATGAATATCGTACGATGCTTATATGTACTGTTTGAGTGAGATGTGCTTTTATCTATTAAGTACCTAACTAGACCTTCACCTTCCATCTCCACCTCCACTCCAATAGCGCCCACCGCGAACAAACGACACTCACCAAGCCGACGACCAGAACCGCGGCGTAGAATCCCACCAAGACCTGCGGGGTCGTCTTCTGCAGCAGCTCTCCACCCACGGGCACCGTCAGCAACGCGCCAAAGGCCGCGACACTGTAGATGGTGCCGTAGAACCGGCCGTACTCCTCTGTCCGGCAGAGTTGGCCCGCGCACACGGGCGCCAGCGAGATCCAGCCCCCGGATCCAAAGCCGAAGATCGCCACCACGGTGTATAGCGTGGCTTCGTCGTGGGAGCCGACGGGGATCCAGACGGCGGCCATGACGAGGAGGGTCAGCACGACCAGCGACAGCAGGATGTTGAAGCGGCCGAACAGATCGGCCGCCAGCCCGGGGAGGACGCGGCCCAGCAGACTCATGCTGTTCAGCACCGTCAGCGAGTAGTACTGGACGTCGAGCGCCAGGCCGGCGTAGCGGACGTAGGTGGGCAGCAGCGACGCGCAGCCGAAGATGATGAACTCGAAGGCGAAGACGGCGACGGCGAGGAAGCACAGCCGCGGCGACCGGAAGACGGTGAGGTCGATCGTGGCGCCACTCTGCGTGCTGGCCGGCAGGCGGCCCTTCACCAGGAAAATGCCCAGCGCGTAGCAGGCCAGGGCGACCAGGGCGATGATGCGCAGCGACCAGGCCCACCCGTACTGGCCGAAGCATCGGCGCAGGATGAGCGGCAGGATCGCGCCCCCGGCCGAGGACCCCGCCATGCAGATGCCCGACGCCAGCGCCCGCCGCCGGAAAAACCAGTGGCTCAGCACGCTGATGGCCACAGTGGTCACGACCGCCGCGGAGATGCCGCCCAGGATGCTCAGGCAAAGGATGAACTGCCAGTACTGCGAGCATTCGGCGAGCAGAAGGTAGGAGAGGAAGCTGGCCAGCGAGCCGCAGGTCAGCAGCACGCGCGGCCCGTAGCGATCGAACAGGGGTCCGACTTGAACCCCGAGGAAGAGAGTCAGGAAGACGAGGATGGCGGTGATCCACCCGACATCGCGGACGCTGTAGTCAGCCAGCTGGTGGACACTGATGTAATCTTGCACGGTTCCCACTGCAGGACCAAGTCAGAATGAGAGTCAGAAATGAGAACCAGTGGAAAGTGTCTTGTCTCCTCACACAAATCGATCAGAACTCACCGGCGGTCTGGAAGCCAAAAGATGGAAACATCATTAACGCGGAGCCCAGCAGACAAGTCCATGCATCGCGCCCACCTTCGGGGAATGCCAGACTGACGGACCCAGTGGTGGGGGCGACATCTTCCGGAAGTTCAGAGGATGTTTCGGGTTCTTGGTTCAAGTTGGTTAACTCTTGATTCAACATTTTATTCAGGGAATGTTTGGTGCTTTGGTGAAGATGACCTGTGTCGAAGAACGAAAAGGACAGACATTTTCCCTTTTATCATCATCTATTTCGAAAGCGAGCCTTTGGGGGTCAGACAAGGTCATTTGAAGGGCGTGCGGGTGGAGAAATAAAGAGATCAACTATCGAGTTAGTTAGGTAACTCTAACTTAACCTAATTCATTTTTTTTTATTTATACATGGTACTCCACATCATTGGGATACGTACCATATTCAGTCAAAGATTTCTGCTGCTGCTGCTGCTTTCGACTCACTCCGGCGAGAATTTCCGTATTCAAGGTTGGCTTAGTAGGAAACCAATTGAACCATGGACCGAGTCAGAACTCATACCGTCGAGTGTTGAAATCGAGTTGGTGAAACCCATTCTGATAATTCTGATAATTCTGACAATTCTGACAATGGCTATTAACTATGCAGAGGACAAAGGATTTACAATAATGCGGGCTGCTGACTGTTAATCTATATTTATCAGGGCTTTACATCTGACGACTACATTGAATTTTGAGCTATGACTTTGCACAAATTCATAAGTTTCATACAGTGAGGCAAGGGAGAGAAGAGACAATTGAATTATCACAGGCCAAGTAGCTCCTCAAGGTAGTCATCCAACGCTATAATCCGGAACTGACTTCCCCATTTCGCGCGAAAGTCCTTCCGGCGATAAGCATAACTAGTAACGGGAGTAAAACTGACCAACTCCACGGTCCACCCGCGTCGCAGTGCTCTTTCCACCATTTTCATGAACCCACCCGAGAACTCGGCTTCCGCCGCGTCGCCCGTGGCAAGAACAATGGTGGCGGGTTCGTCTGTATCAAGCAGACTCTCCAAGATCTTCAGATGTAGAATTTCGTCCACACCCTGCTCAACCCAACGCTCCTCCGGTCCCTCGTTCGTTTCAGAACCACTACCGGGGTCGTGGAAACCCGTCCGAAGATTCTTTCGAAACTTCAACTGACGGGCGGTCATGTGCTTGACCTTGTGCACACGATTAAGGATGTTGGTTTCGTAGCCAAGCTGTTCACCTTCACGGATGGCAGCAAACCGGTCAGACCCAACCAAGACTCGCTTGGCAGTGGGCCGCCCGCGTTCTAGGATCAAAGAAAAGTTTTGGAAGGACAATGGCAACCGGCGAATGCGCGTCTTCACAGGAATATTCCGAGACAGCTTCATGGTATCGTGATAGCCAACCATAATCTAAAACGCGTTAGTTATGCATATGGTGCTTCAAATGGCGAGACTTACATTAGACATATCCACGAAGACGTGAATAGGACGGCATGGATTCTTGTCCTTCTTACTGACCACAGGACGATTCGCCTGGGCAACGATATTTGCATAGTCCGGGAAGTTTTTCAACAGTTTGGTCAAGAGACCAATTCTCCGCTCCGTGGCCGACTTGTAGGTAATAGACTGGATACTCAAAGGGTCGGGGTTAGGCGGGCACTTGGCAACTTTCGAAGCCAAAGGCTCCACCGTCTCATCGTATGAGGATGGTGGGGTATCGTATGGGTCGACAGAAGTACTCGCTGCACCCACTTGCGGAGGAACCAAAGAAAGGATTCCTTTTTTTGTAGTGAGGGGAGGATCGAAGACACTCAAACTGCCGTCCGAATCTGCACCCTGGCTGCTCTCACTTGAGCTCAGGTCGTGAGTAGCTTTGGCTGATGCATTGTTGAGGCTGGCCTTGCATGTTTCAGCAGGAACCTTGGCTTGCACTTTGCGTGCTCTTGCAATCCCAGAGCTAGGAATAGGTTTGGGTGGTGTCCGAGGAGGTTCTTGGTCGGTATTCTTCACTACCAACTTCCTTGACGAATGTTGTTGAAGTATTTCGATCGGAAGGTTCGGTGGCGAGGATGGGGACAGGTCTTGAGCTTGAGGTTCAATGTCTGTATCGGACGACAGGTTGCTGGCATCCCCCAAGTAATCCCACAGTGACCCAAAATCACCAAGCCTTGGAGACCGAACCCCCGAGCTCAGTTGAGGTTGCTGGGAGCTTTTGGAAGTGGGATCATCCTGATTTGCTACCTCGGTAGAATGGGAAGCTGGGAGAGAATCACGGTGGCGATAAGGTGCATATGAGCTGCCGCCGCCGTAGGTAGGCGTGCGAAGAAGGTTTATCACCGCAGTGAAATCCCAGTTCGAATTGGACTCAGCAGACGATGGCATTGAAAGATTCGACAACGAGAAACAATAAGGTGTGTGGAGCAAAGAGACTTCAATAGGCGCCCAAGATAGATAAGGGCGGGGTTGTTTATATCAATGGGAAAAGATAGGAAAGACTGGCTGACTGGAAGAAATCACACGAATCACAAGACTATGAGAATGAGTCTGCAAAGGAAGTTGAAGAAGTTGAAAGCATCAAGATGCAGAAAATCCACATGGTGGTCGAAAGACCCGTATAGAGAACGTTGGCATGGGAAAGCAGGAAGGAGTGAGAGAAACAGAGAGAGGAGAAAGAATGAGTATTCAGAAGGAGAGACGGGAAGCGCCAGCAACGGTTAGTTAGGCATGGGGCGACTCGGGCTCGAACGGGGCGGAGTCATCGGGTGGCGGTGAACAGCTGTCACCTTTCTGTCAATTGTGACCGCTTGCTTGTTATAGATCCAATCTGAGCTAGTCCTAAAGTAGGGTAGCGTACTTTCGGAGCTGTAAGAATGATAATCCGGAGCTTGGCGGCTGTACACGCGCTAAGCTGTTTTCAGAGATCTGGGGATGGAGTCATGACGACGTCATGGTCCGGACTTGGATCTGGACTCAATCGCAAGTGGGCAAATTCCCTGATTCTCTGCAAGCCTCGGTATCCAAAATGGAGCCAAAGGCCATCCACATCCGTCAGACTAGGACTATCATCTCGATCTTGCCCCATGATTGGGGCCGGGGTAACTTCCTCATGATGACGTCCATTCGCTGGTATCTCTTCCATGGAAACGCCCCTGGATACGAAACAGAGGGCTCGGATGGCGTGTGATGGTGAATGTGGAAGATGAACGAAACGACGTCATCGAGTGGTTTCTATGGGAGTCAAATGTTATATAAAGTCCTCTTCACCAACCTTCTCAGACCTTTCATCTCCATCAACCAACAATTTCAAACAATCAACCAAGCTTCTCAACTCTCTACTACAACTTCTTTCAAGAACAACTTCCGTTCAAACAACAATCAATCAACATGTCTGACGCCGGTCGCAAGGATTTCTCTACCAGTAAGTGCCACTGCAGTTGCCCCCCTCGCTGCGGACTTGACAACTCACATGCATCTGCAGAGGCCAAGGAGGAGATCACTCCTGACTCCACCAAGTCCACCCAGGACAAGGTCAAGGAGACCTTCACCGACACCACTGATCGCCTTGCTCGTGGCACCCAGTCTGACCAGTCCAAGTCCACCACTCAGGAGGCTTTCGACAAGACCCAGCGCTCCCATGACAACACCGCCCACGGTGGTGCTTCCCAGTCCATGTCAGTATCCTCCATCTTTATCCTAACTGACGAGTGATATTAACTATCAAGCAGTGGTGACAAGATCAAGAACGCTGTCGGCCTCGGCGACAACTAAATCGGTTTCATAATACCCAAGTACAACTGTAACATGGGTTGCAGCGGACTTTCGGTTTTCATCTTGTGAATCATTGCCGGAGGAACACTTGCGGCTATGGGCAGATTGTTCTTATGATTTTCATGAGTTGACGATACCAAGCCTTTGACTGTACTACTCTCACTAGGTTTAATACAACATTAACAGAACTTTGTGCATTCTTCGTAGTTAAATGTTCTCATTCCCATCTATCTGTTAGCCATTGCATCTCGTTCACGAACAAATCTTTGGAGTTCCCTTTCTAGCTCCTTGCAATTCGCGCGAGCCCCAGGGACATCTCCGGGAAGATCATGGAGCATGTTTATCCTTGTCTCCAGACTTCTGACTGTTTCAAGAAGCTTTATCACGTCCGCCTCTTTTGCCATGACATCTTCCAGCCGAGGTTCCTTGCTCCTGTTCCTTGAAAGATAAGCGATTTTGTCCCGATACTCACCCACTTTCGCACCCAGCGACTTGGTATTCCGTGTCCACTCGGCCGTCAATGCTGGGAGATCAGCAGGCGTCTCAAAAGCTTCATTATTCCGAAGGTCATCCAGTTGCGCCTGCAGAGTAGCCAGCTCTCTCTCCAGATAGTTTTGCAGTGCTTCCACTTTAGACATTTGCTCCTGCACGTTGAATTCCTCCGTCGTGAGGTCAATGATAGACTGACCGAGGTCAACTGCATCGGTGCTCAAAGCCCCGAGCACTGCAGTCGTTTCCGCCAGATCGTCAAGACTCTGTCTACCGCTCTCATCAAGTGAGAGCTCTATCTCATCCAAGATTTCGATTTTTTTCGTCGCCTCGCTCCGTTCCTGAGACTTGTAGGCTTGGACCGCTTGCTCGCGTGCTTCATGCACTACCATTGCCTCTTCATCTGCTGTATCATTGGCGGCAGCCAGGGCAAGCAAGGTCCGTAATGTGTCTTCATTCCGTTCAAACTTGGGGATTGGGTTAGGCGCATACTGCCGGTTCAGCCAGGTGTTCACATAGGCCCAATCCTTGGCTTCAATGGCAGCTTGACGTGCCTTGGCGGGGGAGAAAAGAGGACTATCCATGGAGAGTATGGCAATCTGTAAGAGTGGCTTGAGGTGATACTATGCAGAAAGGGCCTCGTATGGGTTGAAATTAGAGAAGAATGACACAAAGCCAACAATCAATGCATCCATGAACATGGTTGCCAGCTCCTTCTTCTCCGCGGGGTGTGTTTGTTCCTGAAAACGCCTGACATAAGCAAACGCCCGCCGCTCCTTTTCCGCCCGCGGGCCTTTCTCCGCTTCTGTTGCGATACTCCGCAGCTCCCAATTATCCTCTTCACGCAGCTGGCTCAGGCGCCATTTGATCAAGCCACCATGGCGAGCTATTTCCCACCGAATGCACATCAAACAAGTCATACTTCGACAAAAACCTCCTCCCCAGCTTCCTCTCCGCTCTCTCCCCCGACCCAGCAGCGATCCAATGCGCTGTCCAACCGATTGACAAGTGTACTTTCCGCCTCATACGCGGATTCAGACATTCGTGATGCTTTGGAGACCCTCAGTCTCCGAGGAATCCATAATACTGCAGAAGTCCGAAGGCAACTCCGTCTAGACGTTCAGAAGGAAGTCGTCGACTGCAATGCTGAGATTGTGCGCGACTTTGGAAAGGTTGCGGAGGTAAGATAGGCCCCCATGGAGCCAGAGCCGGGAGTAGAGTGATACTGACACTATATGATTCAATAGCAACTGAAGCGGATCGGAACGGTCATCACCAACCTCAACCAAACGTGCGAGGAGATGCGCAAACATATTGTTCTGGCCAAACAGGATACAACGCCCGTTCTGGAAGAAGCGTCTGCGTTGATGAGGCAAAAAACCGAGGCGGAGACCAAACAACAGCTGCTCGCTGCGTTCACGCAACACTTTGTTGTCCCGGAGGAGGAAATTCTGGTATTGACGGCTGCAGAGGAACCAATTGATGACCACTTCTTCGAGGTCCTTGCCCGAGTGAAGCAGGTGCACCGAGACTGCGAAGTGCTTCTAGGTGGAGAGAACGAGCGACTCGGTCTGGAGCTCATGGAGAAAAGCACCAGGAGCCTGAACTCCGCCTATCAGAAGCTCTATCGATGGATTCAGAAAGAGTTCCGGTCTCTCAACCTGGAAGACCCTCGCATTAGCAGCTCCATCCGGCGCGTTCTCCGCGTGCTGGCGGAGCGACCCAGTCTGTTTCACAGTTGTCTGGATTTCTTCGCTGAGGCTCGGGATTACGTTCTCTCTGATGCCTTCCACTATGCTCTTACGGATGCAGTTGCCGGAGGTGGCGGTGACCGTCAGGTGAAGCCGATCGAGTTTTCTGCACACGATCCTCTGCGCTACATTGGCGATATGCTGGCTTGGGTGCACTCAACCACTGTTTCGGAACGGGAAGCCCTGGAATCCTTATTTGTTGACGACGGCGAGGAGCTCGCCAAGGGCATCCAGGCCGGCCTAAGTAGTGAGCCGTGGTCACGCATCGATGAAGACCAAGAACTCACCTTCGACGGACAGAAAGCCCTCAGCGATCTCGTCAACCGTGACCTGGTCGGCGTCTCACGGGCACTTCGCCAGCGAGTCGAATTGGTCATCCAAGGCCACGATGACCCCGTTACATGCTACAAGGTGGTCAACCTCCTCTCCTTCTACCGAACCACCTTCGCCAAACTCCTTGGATCTCAATCCAACTTGGCCGAGCTCCTCGAAACCCTGGAGAGATTCACCTTCCACCACTTCGAAACCCTCATGCAGGATGAAGTCCGCAGTCTTTCGACCGACCACTCGGCCCTCACCCCGCCAGACGATCTCTCGCCCCCGCAATTTATCCAAGACGCCCTAGAATCGCTCACCCTTCTCATGAAATCGCACGACATCTCCTTCGGCGCAGAGGAACTACCCTCCTCCCCCACCGACAACAACAAGATCAGCACCACCCAAGAACCCACGCCCAACAGATTCACCCCAGTTCTCCGCTGTGCCTTGGACCCATTCCTCGACCTCGCCAAATTCACAGCCCAGGACCTCCCTCCCACTCAACGAACCATCTACCTCACGAACATCCACCTCGCCACCCGCGCAACCCTCACCCCGTACCCCTTCGCCAGCGCAACCCACCTCCCACCCCTCAGCGCGACCCTTTCCGCCCTGCGCATGGACCTCCTCGCCATCCAACACAACTACCTCCTTACCGAATCCGGCCTCCAGACTCTCCTCATAGCCCTGGAACCCTTCTCTCCTCCGTCCGCCGCCCCCAAGCCCACCGACCCAGCCAATCAACAAGCCCAACAGCAGCAGCAGCCCCAACTCTCCCATATCGCACAGATCACCACCCTGCCCGCCTTCCAGCCCGACGCCCTCATCATCACCAGCCAACAGCTCGACGACTTCCTGCCGTCGGCGCTCATGGACGCCACGGATCATCTGAAGCGGGTGCAGAGCGCGACGTTCGTGAAGAGCGTGACCGAGGAGGCAGTCGAGGCGTTCTGTCGCGACTTTGAGTTCGTCGAGGGGATGATTATCGGGGCGGATGAGGCGCGGAGGAGCTCGTTGGCCAAGGGTGGTGGTCATGGGGATGAAGGTGTGGATGGGGCGGAGGAGAAGGGTGTAGTCGAAGGTGGGGAGGATGAGGAGGCCGGGGAGGACGAGAAGGAATGGGGCCTGAGGAAGTTGTTCCCTCGGACGACGGGCGAGATCCGGGTTCTACTGAGCTAGTAGATACTTTGAGAAGGTGTGTGTGTGGTGTGGTGTTGTATATATGTGTTGATGTACTTACTCTCTGGTTTGAGTTGATGGAATTGTAAATAGATATATACGTTTGTTGATGCGAGTACTATTATTCTCTCTCGGCAAGAGACCCAACTTACACGAAGGTATCTCATGCTCATTTCCACCCAAGTCCTCACCACATGGGTCTTCTTCAAAAACTCTAACCCTGTCTCACCATAATCCCATACGGATCCCGATCCTTCTCACTAACCGCCACCTCGCACGAGCCATCGGCAAACACCTCCTTCAACCCCCCCTCCGCATCCTTCTGCTGCTGCAGCCCTTCCTCCCTCCGCACCCGCCAGGTCTCCTCCACCTCCTTGGCCAACTTCTCGCGCATCACGGCCCGCAAGTACCCGCGCTCGGTGTTCGAATGCGCCAGCGCCACGACCACGGACCCGCGCTCGATGGCCGCCAGCGCCTCGTGGTGGCTCAGCTCGCCCGTGAACAGCAGATCGGGGATCGGGGATTTCTTCATCAGCACGCCGGACCCGGAGCCGGGGCACACGCCCACCGTGCGGATCTTCAGCGCATCCACCGAGGCACCCTGGGGGATGGCGATGGGGATCCCGCCGGGGAACCCGACGCCCTGGGCGATGCGGTCGATGATGGCGGTCAGCGGCTCCGGGTCCGTGAAGGTCACGATGCGGCCCATGCCGGCCGTGTCCTCGACACCTTCGGGGAGTGGCGGCGGGGACGGGAGGATGGTGTGGCGGGTGTGCTTGGGGACTTTGGTTGCCTGGGTGGCCGGTTGCGGGGCGGGGTAGACTGGGTGGGAGTACGTGGCGGACGAGGATTGTGTCAAGGTGGGTTTTGTCGGGGTGGCGGGCGTGATGATGGCGCCGGTCACGATGTCGCACAGCCAGTCGGCCATGCCCCCCGGGGTCGCGTCGATCGCCGTGTGCGGCGAGTACACGCTGATGCCTTCGGAGGCCAGGCGGAGGAGGGTCTGTTGTTGCGGGTCCGTGAAGGTCAGGGATTTGAGGCCGCGGAAGATGATGGGGTCTGTATGTTTGCGCGAAACAAGGGAAAGGTGGGTTAGTTTCGAGGTGGAATGGCTGCAGGGACGGATAGAGAAAAGCGTACGGTAGGCTACGACGATGGAGTCGCGGCGCGCAATGGCCTCGTCGGCGACGGCTTTGGTCAGGTCAATTGCTAGAAGAACGGAGTTCTTCTGGCGGCGCGATGCGTTGAAGGGGGCCTCGAGGAGTACTGCATCGTCGGTACCGTTAGTGGATGGAGGGGGCGTGGGGATGAGGCTGGCGGAGGGAGCTCACGGCCGGTGTTGTCCCAGCTTTTGTCGGCCAATGACTCAGGATAGCTATGGGACGAATAATTAGTGTTAGGGAGTGGAGTGTGTATCCAGCGCCCGAGACGAGATCACATACAGCTTCCTCATGGAGCTCACGACAGCCTGGGTGAAGGGCGATGAGGCGGGGTTCGAAGAAGCAGCCATTGTGGAATAAAGACGAGACGATCGCCGAAACAGAGAGTTCATAGACACTGTGCGAGTCAAAGCAAGTATATATGGACGTTCCGGTGGGAGTTGCTTCTTGATATGACCTAGATTGAGCTTGTTCACGATGTTTTCCCTTTGTTCTAGATCAATGAAGCTAGAGAAGTTAAGAGGAGGATTAATCTCGCCAGAAGCCGAGGATGAGCTTACGCCACAACCGCACAGACATAAACTAAACCCCAAATGCATACTAGTCTCCCACACCAGCCACAGCCGGGTTTCGCTGACCAATATCGCAGTGCAGAGAAGCCTTTCCCTTAATTAGTTTCAATGGAGGTTCCGTCATCCTACATCGGAAGAAGCATCACCGCCCGCGCGCGAAGTCTACAGCCAAAAAAAAAACATAGGCCCAACTGCATCGTCATATTCATCCCATCGCGCAACACATCATAGTCTCGACGGAGTACTTTCTTTTACCTAAGAACAACCAACAACAACCACCGTACCCCTCCTTCTCGTCTCTCCTCTCCCCTCTCCCCTCTTCCCCTCCCTCACGAAGCACTACTTGATGTACTCCCGCACCACCTTCTTCTCGCTGAGCAGAAGCTGCCGCTATCTTCTCCGCACTCCGGGCCTCCCTCCGAAGTCGACTTTTTCCCTCTCCGCGCGCTCCTTCTCCGCCGTCCACGCAGCCATGGCCGATGCGACCTCCGGTGTCACCGCCGACTTGCTGAAGAGCAAGCTCTTTGACCAGCTCCAGGCGCAACACGTGGAGATTGAAGATCTATCGGGTAGGTCGGGTCACCTACGTTGCTGATTAATTCTGCTGCGTTTCCCCCGCGTGTGGGATTCAATCTGTGCTGTGCTTCTTGGATTGATCATGGACGTCGGAAATTTTGACCACTTTTTCTTTTCAATATAGGTGGCTGTGGCCAGGCTTTCCAGGCGGTCATTGTCTCCCCCCAGTTCGATAAGAAGACCATGCTCGCCCGTCACCGCTTGGTAAACTCGGTCCTCAAGGCCGAGATCGCTGCTATTCATGCTTGGACGCCCAAGTGCTACACCCCCGAGCAGTGGCAGGCTCTGCACCAGGGCTGAGGCTGCTTCTCCCTGTTTAAGACATTGTGTTGCAGCCGAGAGACTACGGCAATCATCGGCGATGGAAGGTTTAAATTTTGGGTCTCCATCAACACGTACAAGGGTAGAATCTTGTACAAGGCTATCATAATCTGCGGGCGTTGGAGAGAAGGGAATGTTCCATGTGCGAGAGGCTTTGCACACTGCCGGCCATGCCTAAAGTTCTGCTATGGTTGCGAGAAAGGATCTTGATCATGAATAAATACTATACGGTTTTTTCGCATGTATAACAGATTTCTATAGTTACAGAATAGATTGCCCGCGTCACGCCGTTCGGCTCGCTTAACCCAGCACCTTCTCAGCCGCGGAGACTGTACATAGCACATCAGCAATTGGAGGATAATGCGTGTGAAAGACTGTAGTGTACACATACCGTTGACGCCGATGTTGTCAGGCTCCACGAAGGCCTCCTTGACCTTGCCGTTCTCGACAACCAGCGCGTAGCGCTTGCTGCGGTTGTTTCCGAAGATGGAGGCGCTGTCGAAGGTAACATCAAGGGCGTCGGAGAACTTGCCAGTAGGGTCACCGAGGAACCGGATCTGACACTCAGGATTTAGCTGGTCTGTTTGACATGCCTAGAGAAGATAATGAGTGTACTTACGCCGCTCTTGCCAGAGGCATCGAGAGACTCGCCCCAGGCCTTGGTCCTGCGCGCGGAATTAGTATACTATACAAGCCTCGCCAGATCGCTGACTTACACAAAAGGATCATTGACGGCAACAACAAACACCTGGCCGGCCTCCTTCAGCTTGGGGTGGTTGATGTAGCCGGGCACGTGGGTGCTGGAGCAAGCGGGGCCTACACACGACCGGTCAATATCGTTCCTCCGATCCGACATCGTATGTATGGTAGCCATGCTGCAGATGACTAGCTCCGAACTCAATTTGAGGGATGAAGCCAGAGGAAGTCATGCGTGGCTAGCAAGGTTTCAGGCGCAAAACCGGGAATGACACATACTGAAAGCGGCGGGGACGCCAATGATGACTCCCTTGCCCTTCAGCTCCTTGGCGAGGTTGACCTTGTTGCCGGGGGAGTTCTCGACCAGGACATCGAGATCGGGGATGGCATCGCCCTTCTGAACAAACGCCGGGACGGTGTTGTGGAAAAGCGCCCTCTGGGACAGGACGCGAGGAACGCCAGCGGTCAAACGGCGAGCGGCGAACATTGTGAATTGATGAATTGACTAATGAGGTGGACTTTGGGAAGAGGATATATCGCGGGGGAAGAGATTGCTTGAATTTGATGTTTCAAAATTGCCACTACCCCTGAACAGAGTTGAGGTACAAAGTTTGTCGAAAAAAGAGGGGGGAGAGAGAGAGAGGATGTGGAAGTTCCTGAGGGAGAGAGCTTGGGGAGGGAGTGAGTGAGTGGACCAGGCAGCTCCCCAATCACCCGGAACATTATTTCGTCATGGTCGCTTCCGCCTGCATCGCGCCCGGACGTCAACCGACTTCACTCACTGCCAAAACGTGCATCTCTATTCCATGGGACAAAGGAATTGTGCCAATGATTTAACCTTGATCGAGGACAAGAAACCAGATTCAGGTGAGGCTGTCCTCGCTTCCCTTGCAAGGTCTGCCACCTCAAGTTCGTATGCTATGCAGACGGGCGGGATATTGATGTTGTGTTGTGGTCTCTACGCGGCATGTATAGAGGTATAGAGGAGGATGGTTCAATCCTCGGATTGGAAGAAAGCTGCATACAATTTGCCTGAGCTAGATTAAGCTGACCCGAGCAGGCATTGGACCCTCATCGACCGGGCTGGATCTTTGTAAGATGACAGTTCATATTCCGGTTTCATGATTGATTGCCCTGCATTGTCTTCAGTATATCGGACTGCAAGGGTGCAGCACATTCAATGGCGTTCTCCGTGCGATGAGTCTCGACTCTGGGCCGCATCCCACCCAACTCATAGCTAACTTAGCTGGTGGCTAGGCTGGACGGGACAAAATGCTTTTTTGTTCCCCAGTCTTCCATGTCCGTTGGCGAGTCCGAGAGAAGTCAAGTCTGCGGGAGACCAAGCAGTCGGGTACCGTTTTATATTAAACCGCTGGGCCATGCCGCCATGGGGACCATAAGAATCGCAGTACCCCGGACTAGTGCGTGCATGATGAGGCCATAGCTTCATTTACCGGACTCATAGTACTTTTATGTCCGTGATTGGTATTGGACTGGCTAACCAGTTGTGATAGTGGTAATTTGTGAAAGTTATTGATCACAATCACTGGCTCAAATTGGGAATTGCACGGTTCTGTCTGATCTTCTCTTCTTCTTCTTCTCCTTCTCTGGCCCTGTCGGCTACCGAAGTATTATTCAGCGAGGTTCAGCGAGTGATCGGCAGCCGTTGCCGAATCCCGTGAACCTCCCCTCACTGAATGGATCCCCGATCTCCATCATTGTTTGATGATCATAATGGGGGTGGGTGAAAAAGAGACAGGAGAGACGGGAGAGGGACTGAACTACTTACCGATTCTTAATCTACTGAGAAGGTAATATTTCGCTCATTCTCATGGCTGATGCCATCGCATTCCTAGCTTCGAGCCTAACGAACTGTCTGAGATTTCCCTTCCCCTCTTCTCATCCTCCAGACGGTACGGAGTACTAGGCAATCATTTGTCGGAGCCGAAACGAGACACCAGTAAAGACAGTCTTGATTTCTGCCCAGGTGATCGTGGACGCACAGGTTGACGGCCCCTCCCAGCGGCACCAGCCTATCTCCATGTCATCCCCCCCATCCTGCCCATCCTTTTCATGCAGCTTGTCTGCAACCGTTCAGGCGCACTGACAGCTTCCAACCGGCTTTTCCGCCAGAATTGCTCGCCAAATCGCGGGCTCCAGGTATTTAATTTTCTTTTTCCCCTTTCAACTACTTTCGTGATCTTCTCTCCCAATCCTGGTTTTGTCTCTTTCTTCTATCCAGTGACGTTGTTTCGTGTGTTAAGAGAGTCCCAGTTGGGTTGGCCCATCTTGAGTTGTCCTTCGTTAGCTCCGAGGCTCTAAGATTTTAGTGAGGGTTAGAATTCCTGTCTACCCCTCCTATCTCCTTGCTTTGGGGGGGAAAGAAATCCAAGCCAATTCGGGCATATCAAAGCCTGGCAAATACGCAGGGGAGGGGGGGGGAAGTTGAAAACAATGCAAATGATCGCAACAATGTTATCTTTTGGTATTGTCTACGGTTGTGCATTCAAGCGAAGGGAAGGAGTTTATAAGAATACAGTACATTGTCAAGGAGATCAATAGTCAATAGTCTGAATGACTACCTGACCATCGGATATTGTGGCTAGTTACTCTTGGGGCAACCCACTTTCCAGGCTACTACAATGAACTACTACTAAGTTACAAAAAGTCTACTGGCGAGGTATACATTGCCAAATGGTTGAAACAGCACATCCAGCGGTCGAGCGGGTAGTATAGAAGATGATGGTGACGATAATGATGATCTTTTCGAGTACCAAGACAAAGAAAAAAATCACTCAAGTAGATAAATATATGAATCGAATTAACTATTTCCCCTTCTTGGACATCAAAAACACCTTCGACTCTCAAGGTACGGTACGGTACAACTCTACCAAGCCAACGCCGCCCGCCGCCGCCCGGCCAAATCAAGTCAATGGTTCCAACCCCAAAAAACAATCACCCCCTCCCCTCCTCTTCTTCCTCTTCCTAAAGACTGAATTGACTGCCAGTCTAGTCTGACTGCCAGTCTGCCAGTCTGCCACAACCCAGTCCCACCTTCAAACTAAAAACCCATCGATTAACTAATGGTAATTAATCTCCATTCCCATTTCCTACCGGACTGGCACACTCACTCCCTTCAACTTACCTCCACCACACCACTCAATCCATCTGTTGCGCCGCCCATTCGGCCACTCGGACGGAGGGTCTAAAGTCGAGTCTCCAGTCCAGTCCATGCTACTACTGTTCTCTTTTTCCCCTTCTCTTGCCTTACCCACACCCACCCCCCCCTCCCCATTCCTCTTTTTTTTATTTTTTTCCCTTCTCCCTTTCTTCTTCTTTCCTCTGTCTTGATTGTGTCTTTCATTTTTTTTCTATTCCTATTATTTATTTTTATTCTTGGCTCGTCGCCGATAGTCGTATTTCTTACTTCTTTGCGATCTTTGAATTGAGCGCCCGACTGGTTCCCTTTCCTTCCCGGTCGCTGCGACGTGTGTTGAGCCTGTTGCTTGTTCGATCGGTCGCGACCCATCTAGCCCATGATGGACGGTGGCCAGACCTCGACCAGCGCCGCCCCTGCCGGCAACTCCAGCGATTTTGTAAGTCTTCGTCGTGATCTTCGTGAAACCCATACTCGAGAATATTGTTCTATCGTATTGTTTTACTATATGTTTCAGTTGCTAACCATCATGCTCAGGTACGGAAACTCTACAAGTGAGTCTCTCTATTTGCTTCTCCCGTTCCTTGATCGTCGCTTTTCGCCTCTCATCCAACCCTGTCCTCCTCCCCGACGCCTCGCCCCCCCTCTTAGCCCTCTATTCCACCTCTGCGCCAAATCAGTGTCGACGATCGACTATATTACTTTTACCATGCATACTGACGTTCTCTAAAGGATGCTGGAGGACCCGTCCTATGCGGAAATTGTGCGATGGGGTGATGAAGGGGACAGCTTCGTCGTTTTGGAGGTACCGTGTCTCGCACCTCGCAACTTCCCCCGCGATCGCAAACCCTTTGACTAATTGCGTTCATCTTCTTAGTGTGAGAAATTCACAAAGACTATTCTGCCGAAGCACTTCAAACACAGCAACTTTGCCAGTTTCGTGCGACAACTCAACAAGTACGATTTCCACAAAGTGAGGCAGAACAACGAGGAGAATGGACAGTCACCTTATGGGCAAAATGTAAGTGTGCAGGGGTGCGCAGCGGAAGCTAGTCTTATTCTAATCAGATTTGCAGGCGTGGGAATTCAAGCATCCCGAGTTCAGAGCGAACAGCAAGGAGTCGCTCGACAACATCCGCCGGAAGGCTCCCGCCCCGCGCAAACAGACCCAGACCACCGACGACTCGGTCCCCACCCAACAGATTGATCTCTTGAATCAACAGATCGTGGCACAGCAACAACAGATCCAGCACTTGTCAGACCGCTATGCGCAACTGACTGTCGATCATCAGTTGATGTTGCAGGAAGTGATGCGAGTTCAGAAAACGGTTCTCAACCACGAAAGTGTCATTCACCAGGTCATGAACTACCTACTCTCCGTCGACGCCCGTCAGCGGCGGGACAGCAAGGCGGCTGCCTCTTTCCAGGCCC